ACTCTATGTTGACCTCTAGATGCCCATTGAATTTTTGTTTGGGTTTTGTTTTTGTAATATGGTTTTATTGACGTATACCCCACAGATCTTGTTATTTTTATTAGTCCTTTAAACCATTCACCCAGAAGCCACTGCCTAGTGTTGACATGATCTGAATGAAACATTTTTTTTCAATTTTTATGAATATTTCCTGTCTATAAATTAAATAGCTGCTATTAGTTTCTGAAACTCTTATGCCAATTTGAACTTATTTTTTTTTCTTTTATATTAAGTTCCCATACACTATGGCTTTTGAAACTTTATATCTCGAACGTCATGACAAAGTTTATATTCCATTATATATGTGTGTGTGTTTATTATTCAATAAAAGCAATCGGCATCATAATTTTGTTTTACTTTTATATTTTTGGGGGAATTTTTTTGTGTTTTTTTTTTCAAGTTAGAAATATTGATCTCCTTTCATTAACCAATGGAGCTACCATTTGATTTTTATGGGGGGGGGGGGGCTAGGATGAAAAATTTTGTCCTGCCTTTTTATTTTCCCCTCTATTCGGTCCTGCCTTTTCATTTTTCACTCTATTCGGTCCTGCCTTTTTTTTACCTAAATTGTCATCCTGCCTTTTTTTTTTGCAAATAATCTCATCCTGCCTTTTTTTTTTACTCAAAACTCCTGTCCTGCCTATTTTTTTCAAATTTCATCCCAGGGAAAACCAAGAAAAAAAACCCTTTTGCATTGATTTTCTATCAGAGGTATATCCTCCCTAAAAACTATTCCAGCATGGGGATATGGAAGAACTTAACAAGTTTTTCCGTCACCTTCAGAAGCTAATTAATTGTTGCAATGTCTCAGTTTCTTAGGTTAGAAATATCATTATACCCCACGCAAACACAGTATATAGGTATCACCATGTCCGTCTGTCCCGCTTTGTGTCCTGAGCATAAATTTTATACTGTAAAACTTAGGTATACCAAACTTGGTATGCAGTTGCATCATGGGCTGGGGTGTGTCATATACAAATGTCAGGTACTAGTAACTCTGACCTTGACCTTTGACCCCTATGATAGTAAAACCTTGTCTAATTCGTGTCCAGCTCATAACTTGTGTACCGTCAAACTTAGGTTAACCACACTTGGTATGAAGTTGCATCATTGGCTGGGAATGTGTCACATACCAAAGTCAGGTCACTATGACCTTGACTTTTGACCTTTGGCCACTATGATAGCAAAACCTTGTCCAATTAATGTCCATCTTATAACTTTTGTACCTTTAAACTTAGGTAACCAAACTTGGTATGCAGTTGCAACATAAGTTTGGGGTGTGTCATTTGCCAGTCTGATTATTCTGACTTTGACCTTTGACCCCTATGATTGTAAAGCCTTATCCAATTCATATTCTGCTCATAACTTTTGTACCTTCAAAATTAGGTTAACTGCACTTGGTATGCAGTTGCATAATGGGCTGGGAATGTGTCACAAACTAAAGTCAGGTCACTCTGACCTTTAATTTATCTTTGGCCATTATGATAGCAAAACCTTGTCCAATTAAGTGTCCAGCTTAAAACTTTTGTACCTTAAAACTTAGGTTAACCAAACTTGGTATGCAGTTGCAACATTGCCTTGAGATGTGTCATATATACCAGTCAGATTATTCTGACCTCGATTTTTCCCCCTATGATAGTATAACCTTGTCCGATTTGTTTCCTGCGCATAACTTTTGTACCATAAAAATTAGGTTGACCAAACTTGGAATGCTGATACATCATGGGATGGGGGTGTATCATGTATTTAAGTCGGGTCACTCTGATGACCTTGAATGCGATTTTCTACCCCTCTAAAAATAAATTATTGTTTTAGAGCAGGTTGGTGCACAACTTGTGTACTGTAGCACTTAGGTTGACAAAGCTTTGTATGCAAAATCATCAAAATAACCTTGACTTTGGCCTTTAATATTTGAATTTACAATATACAAACCTCAGACTTGTTCCAGGTCAGTATAATTATTTCAGATTAACCTAACAGTACCATGTGTCAATCTAACACAGAGGCAATGATTATATAAAATTAATAGCTGAAAACTACAAATCTCAATATGTTATTGTCTCAATACTGAATTTCCAAGCAACAACTTAAATGCATATATAAAGCACAAAAAGTCGTCATTCACCTCAAAAGCTAACTAAACCTTTAAACAGACTTATTCAGAAGGGATATAGTTACGATACTGTTGTCTTGTCATTAAAGATGGCATTTTTTTTAATTAATATTGATTCACTCATAGGGTCTTTGAAATAAATTTATTCTAAAACCAGTTGTTGGCATGATACAGGTTATGTTCTTTTTGTATATTTTATGATGGTATGATACTAAACCCCTTACGGGAGGGATTGTCCTTGATTTTCATATAATAAAGACATAATATTTCTATCAGTTTACTTGAGGTCTGGAGCTGGCATGTCAGTAACTGCTAGTAGTCCTTTGTTAAATTATGTTCATCATTGTCATTTTGCTTAGTTGCTTCTGTTACCTTTTCTAACATTGGACTCAGACTTCTTTTAAACTAAGTTTTACTGTGCGTATTGCTGTGTGTTTGTTTATTCCACATTGACTAGAGGTATAGGGGAGGGTTGAGATCTCACAAAACATGTTTAACCCCACAGCATTTATGTGTCTCTCCAAAGTCAGGAACCTCTGGCCTTTGTTAGTCTTGTATGTTTTTTTAAAATTTTGGTTCATTTATATGTTTCGTAGTTTAGTGTGACGTCCATTTTTGCTGAACTAGTATACATTATTGTTTAGTGGCCAGCTGAAGCCCGCCTCTGGATGCGGGATTTTCAATGCTGTGTTGAAGACCCATTGGAGGCCTTGGGTTGTTTTCTGCTCTTTGGTCGGGTTGTTGTCTCTTTGACCCATTCCCCGATTCCATTCTCAATTTTATGTATGGGGGTATTAGTCCCGCTATGCAGACAGCTCTAGTTTTACCTATATTATAGAACTATATATCTAAATAAGAGTCTAATAGCTATACTGGTTTGTCATAGATATAAGAAGATGTGGTATGAGTGCCAATGAGACAACTCTCCATCCAAGTCAAAATTTATAAAAGTAAACCATTATAGGTCAAAGTACAGTCTTCAACACGGAGCCTTGGCTCACATTGAACAGCAAGCAAGCATGTTCTTACTACTGGAGTGAATTTTGAATCGTTTTTCAGAAGAATCACGCATAACAGGAAAGGCTTGTCCTGTCGACATACCTGTTTGAAGTTCATGTCATGAGATAATTACATAACGTCCAGATGCTACCATAATATTTAAATGTACAAAAATAATTTATTAGCTATTAACAAAAAAACATTAATTTTAAATGTTTCAATAATTTTTAGGAATTAAAATTTCTGTGGTTTATTTTTTTTTTTTATTTATTTCAGAACTTTCCATCTATATTTATTAAGCCCTATTATTTAAAAAGTGTTGATTTCATATGCAAAGTAATTACAAATTTTGCACAGGATATTTTATATTGATCACAAAGAAGCTTTTGTCCAAGTTTTGTAAAAGTTGACGACAGAATGTTGGATTGCTGTGTCTTGCTTCCATTACTTTCTTCATCAGATCGACAAAAATAGAACATTGGGTTGAAATGTAAATATTGTCTACATATTTTATGAAAACTGCAGTAGTCAGAAAAAATCTGATATGATAAAAAAATAAATGTGGATAGTGTCCACATGTGGACACAGATGATGCCCCCGCTTGCATATCATATAGTTATAAAGGGACATAACTGAAGAACGGTAAAAGTGACGCTACCCAAATTTGAACTTGATCTGAGTTTTGTGGTAATGAATATTGTGTATAGGTTACATAATGTTTGGTTGGGGCAAACTTAAGTTACAGAATGGAAACTAAAAATTTTGCAATCTTCCGATTTATAAAGGGGCATAACTCAATAATGGTTAAAGTGACACTACCCAAATTCAACTTGATGTGTGTTTTATCAGTGGAAGTCAAAATTAAACATTGCATTGTATAAAGGATTGATTGTAGTTGATTCAACTATAATCATGGACAAAGGAAGATAACTCTAATTTTAATAAAAATTACTTGATATTTAGAAGAAATTAAAATTTTGCAATTTTTCCATTTATAAAGGGGCATAACATTTGGTTGAGGCAAAACTTAAGTTAGAGAACGGAAACTTAAAAATTTTGCAATTTTTCCATTTATAAAGGGGCATAACTCTAGAACGGTTAAAGTGATGCCACCAAAATTCCAACTTGATCTGTGTTTTGTGATAATAAGCATTGTGTATAAGTTTCATAACATTTGGTTGAGGCAAAACTTAAGTTAGAGAACAGAAACCAATTTTGGAACGTACGTATGTATGTTCGTACGTACGTACGTACAGACGGACAAGGGTAAAACTTAATGCCCCCACCGCTACGGCAGGGGCATAAAAATACCCTGCAGCTTTTGTAATTAATTTTTCTTTATCCTGATTTTTACACAAATATCAACAGATTTTTCTGTAAATATTTTTAGAAATAGTGACAGTCATGTTTATTGGCAATCAAATTAACTGTAAATAATTCTAAATAGAATCATAAATATATCATTTCTCCATGATTGGATTCTATTTCCTTTTTGCAGGAATTTTAATTTGATTTTTTGTTGTTGAATTTACAGTAATATCTATGTCAAATTTTTAGTATAGGCTGCACTTTTGTTTGTAAATATGTCATGTGACAAATTTTTGATGGAAGACATTCCAAGGATGGAACAGGACAAATCTAAATTGGATAGCTAGTTTAAGAAAAATTTGGAAAAAAATCAGATCTGGTGTTGATGGATGAAAGACATTAAGTAGCTAAACAAAAGATACAAATGTGCTGCATATCCAGAGAATAAAAGTTTAGAAGTCAATACCTAATTTCCCCCCAAAACAACCATAAATACTCTCTACAGGTTAAGACAGATAAAGAAAACAAATACACACACACAAACAAGGTTTGCATATTTAATGACAATCTTTTTGCATTGAAAATATTTTTACTTATATTCACTTAAGCATCTCAGATATAATCATTTTCAAATAATTCTTCAGCTTTCCTTATATTTACCAACAAAGGCTTTGGATTATATGGAAATAAATCAGAGTCCCATAGTTTACTAACTTTCATTCTTACTCTTACAATACAAGACATTAATAAATCTAACATGTCACCACTCCCAGACACTTTATCTGTTTTCATGACATTACAGTTGCATTTCTCATCGAAGTCAGAATCTGATGTATTCTGTTGATTAACCTTTGATTTACATCTTTTACATGTGGAATAAGAGAATGGTAAATCATTGACTTTGTTACTATTCACAGAGCAATTCAAAGAAATTCCTGATTCTGGAGGAGTTGTTGTGGCAAGGTTACCGGTACTCTCGGAAGAGACATATTTATCGTTATTCTCTTGAAGACAGTCCACTGTTTCACAACTGCTGTAGTTTGAATTGAAACAAGACAATTCATTAATGCTATCACCAATACCCTGTGTTTGATCACCAGGGGAGATAATTTCCTCACTACTATCTGAATCATATAGTCCAACCAATGTTAAACCACATGATGAGAGACAAATGTCATGTTCTACAGCAGCCTGCTTTGGAATTTCATGTTCAGAGTTCATAGTACACAGTTTACCAGATGGATTATTACCTTTTGCAAACTTATCTGAATTTTCCTCTTCCAAAGTCATTTGCTTCACTGTTGATATTAACCAACCCCATTTACTACACATAAATTTTAGATAACAATTAAAATAAAGAAGAAAACAAGTTTCAGGGGACGTTAGTAAATCAATTACAACTGATTCATTAAAATCTGTAGCTTTTATGAATAACAAGAACTGTCGATGTGGGTTAATCACAGTCTGTAATGATGTTGGGAGTGAATCAATCTCTCTGAAAATAATCATAAAATCATAACATTTTCTTTCTTGTAAAAGAAGATAATAATGCCGATTTAATAACTACATGTTGACATGGCTTTACATTATATATGTTGATTGAAATCTCCTAATACTTCATTCATAGACTGTGACATAGTTAGTACAAACTAATCTTTCAAAATATTTTAACATTTTGATATTTATGGATAGTTTTCTCATTGGCAATTATACCACATTTGCTTTATATTTTATTATTTATTGACATGTGAAACAAAACAAAAACTTATCCAAATCTAACTTATATTGGTTAACATTGGTTTGCAGAACATTTTAGCTGTTAACATTTTCTATCTATCACTTACAAGTTTAAAGATAACAGTAGAAAGGCTACATTTGTAAAAAAAATATGCCATTCTAATAAGGAGGTAATTTCTATTTTAGGTCAATTGATGACTTTAGTCATTTGACATTTTTGTGAATATTGTACAGCTGATATTTTTTTTCAGTTTAATGTTTCTTTCTACTTATTATAGTTGTTAAGTTAATAGACAAGCAATGCCAAAAAATAAATTATCATTAAAGGGTAAAATCTGCAATAAGGAGTTGTCTGATTATTTTGGTAAACATATACAGTAAGTGAACCTAGATAATGTAAAAATAATTTCAAAAGATTAAATATTTTAGTTATGCTTGATCTTCCCTTTTCCAGATTTAAATCCACTAATGAAGGACCCAGTAAAAAGTTTCCCCTTGTAACTTTAAACATCTGAGCACTTTTTTTCATTTTTCATGGAAAATAATTTGGTATTGGTATAAAAAGTCATGTCCACTCTGTGCTTTTGTAAGATGTATTTCTGCTTTGTATCTATCTGATGAGTTAAGCCCTTTTCAACTGATTTTGATAGTTTGTTCTTATGTTGTATTGTTACACCACTGTCCCAGGTTAGGGGAGGGTTGGAACCTTCAAACTAGTTTACCCCGCCACATTCTATATGTGCCTGTCCTAAGTCAGGAGCCTGTAATTTAGTGGTTGTCGTTTGTTGCTGTTTCTCATATTTGTTTTTCGTTTCTTGTTTTGTATGGCTTGATCTTGTGTAATGCCGTTGCAACACCATCCCAGGTTAGGGGGAGGGTTCGCTACCAAACTAGTTTAACCCCGCCCCATTCTATATGTACCTGTCCCAAGTCAGGAGCCTGTAATTCAGTGGTTGTCGTTTGTTGGTGTATATCATATTGTTTTTCATTCATTATTTTGTACATCAATCAGGCCGTTATTTTTCTTGTTTGAATTGTTTTACATTTGTCATTTCAGGGCCTTTTATAGCTTGACTGTGTGGTATAGGTTTTACTCATTGTTGAAGGCCGTATGGTGACCTATAGTTGTTAATGTCTGTGTCATTTGGTCTCTTGTGGAGAGTTGTCTCATTGGCAATCATACCACATCTTCTTATTTTTATATGTTGAATAAAATACTACCTGAACAGAACAACTTGATTATATATATCTAATAGTGCCACCAGGGATTCAACCCATAGGTCATCCTGATCTTCAAACATCTGATAAACCCAATCAAGTGTCTGTTTCTTTTCCCTTGGACTTTTGAATAACTTTACAAACAGATCTAACTCAAAGAGACACTTTAAGCAAACATCAGCTGAAATAAAATTGCCTGAAAAATAATTGAAGAAAGGTTAATGGCAAGCATTTAAAATTTCAATCAATGTATGTTTTAAAAAAAAGCTATCTGTTAGACTATACAATGACCTGTAATTTCTTACATCCACATCATCTAGTATCTGGTGGATAGTTAACTCATCATACAATAATGGTAACAACACATTGTGTAGACATTTCTATCTCTGGTTATAAGGCACAGGAAAACACCACAATTATAAAAACTAATAGATGCCTTTTTTTATAAGGTTTGTGTGGTTAAGTGGGCTTGAGGGTTCTATGCAGTTAATGTGGCCATTAATGCACCAGCTGTATGAGTTAAGAGTTCTAATGAATGCTGTTAAGTGACCCAAGACAGTATGACTAAAATTACCCAATTAACCTCACATTGCTTTATTAATTAAAAGATGTTGTTTATGTTTACATTCTACATATGAATGTATATGTATTTCAGCAGGAAACTTTCTATACCAAAACAATTTACCTGCTTCTGGTGAGTGTTTCCATGACAGAATAATGGCTATGCTTTTCAAAGTCAATAAGATCACTAACTGTAGTTCTGTTTTGTCCACTGCTGAATTTTCTCTACAAGAAATACCTGTAAAGCCACAACCATGTCCTAGGCGAATGACAGTAAATCCATGTTGATCGAAAAAAGTGATTATGTTCTCAGCAGTCTGTTTGAATACCACATTTACATTCAATGACAGTGAAGACCAATCTCCATATGGAAATAAACTATTTAATAATTTCAAAACACTTTTTGTAAATACTGGCACCTTACACTTCACCATAAGGTTCCATATTCTTGAAAAATTAATAATGTCTTTCAAAATATCAATTTTTTCTGGTTTCTCACTTTTAAAGATTAGCTTTACAACTTTTTTTGAAAGCCTTATAAATTCATATAAACACAATTCTTTTTGTCCAAGTTTGCCATTTCTAAGTTCTAAATCAAAATTACATATACAACACATTATACAATTCCAATTTACTGTAATATGATCAAACAGAATGTTGTTTTGGACAATTTCTACAAATGTTTTACTTGATAATGCCCCATTAAGACATGTGAGAGTTCTTAGTTTCATCCAGCATGGCTGATCAGTTGTTAATTTCGTCACTAGTTGTAAAGAGAAAGATTTCATCTCTGTCTGAAAGGCAGATAATATTTTGTTTCAAATAAATTTAATAATTAAATAAAGAAGATAATCTCAAGAAAAATGCAATAAATAATTCATGGATTTTCATTAACCACAAATTTAAATGTTCAATCAAGTATAAATTTCCTATAGGCTTGCTGGCGAAACACCATCACGTTTTCATGAAAATACAATTTTCCTTAACAAAAGCTTTAAACCATGAAAATTTATACCCACAAAAGCTAGAGAAAGCTCTAAATAGCATGTGTCGCTCACCTTGGTCTATGTGCATCTTCTTCAATGGACATTCTCCAACATTTTAGACTAGAGATGATTCATGACTACAATATCTTTTTAGTTGAACCTGTATTGCTGATCATTTTTCTGTTTACAGTTTCTCTCTATCTTTATATAGTTTTGGCCAAAACACAAGAAAAAGTTAAAATAGTTATTTGAAGAAGACAACTGACAAAATTCATCTACATTTTAGCTAAATCTTTACAGATATTGTCTTCTTCATCATTTTTGCCTTTTAAAAGTTTTAATCTATCTCAAAAATTTTCAAGAAATTAGGCAAAAATCATCGTTCAAGGGCAATAACTCCAATAAAGAACTTACAGACCATTTCAGCTATGTACACTTATTTGTAGATCTTGTCTTGTTGATCATTTTTACTACAAAAAGTTTATGTCTTATCTATTATAATTTTCAAGATACGCAAAAATAAAAATAATTGGTAAAATTCCTTATTCAAGGGAAATAACTCCTCAGGAAGACGTGTGACACTTTTGATGTAAATACACAGAAGGTAGATCTTATCATTCTGAACATTTTTGCCTTCAGATTTTCTTTTTCAATAGTGGTTTTCAAGATAATAGACAAAACTGGAATTTTATCCCTATTTTATATTTTAAGCTATCTCAGCTATGTTGGTTTGCAAGCAAGGTCATCAGAACGGCCACAGAAAAGTTTCATGACTTGGGTAATGCACATGAACATGTCAAAGGTTTAAACGTCTTTTTTTTAGATCTCAAAATGATACCAGAACTCCTTATTTTTGTATATATATATTCATTCAAAAAATAAGTAATATCCTACTTGTTCTTTACAGTTGGTCATAAAAACTTTCAGGGCACCTGCTATTCCATAATTTACAAATGGATCTTCAATGTTCATCTCAAGCTGTAAGAAAATAAATGTTACAGTTTAATCTTTGTCTGATACAATGTATCATTGGGAAACAAAATACTAGAAAACAAATTAACTTTGATTTAAACATATTTTATTCAGAAATTAGCGAAGTTGGATTGAATAAAACGCAAAAGCCTATTTATACACATCTTCTAAATTTCAAAGTTACAAGAAAATGTAATTTGTATACAGGTGTATGAAGCTAGTTTTACATTTCCAGTGAAATAAATCAGTTTAGTAAATTAGTAGCATCTCACTTTTACACAATAAAAATGTAATAACAGTAATATACATGCAATAATGATGGATAAATACATGTGACAGTGCTTTGGCAAAACTGTGACCCTTATGAAATATATAAAATAAAAATTTTAATAAGCGAGATATTTCACTTGCATGTATATACATAACTTTCTGAAAAGTGTTGCTACTTTAACATGTTATTCACATTATCATCTATTGAAATACGATATTGCATTACTTCTTCTTTTCTCTCACAATCTTTTACTGTTTTTAATAAACATACATGTATGCAGGAACAACTAAAACTTGTATTGGGGATTACGAATCAGGGTCCATTCGCCAAAAATCATGTTTGCTCCCATTCACGTTCACCCCCTTTAACATTCATACCCACACATTCGCATCCTTTTTAAATGTTTTTTTAATCGTGTTTTAGTTAGTGTATTGATCATGTTGATATAAAATAAAGATAATATGTTTTTTTATTGTTTTAAAAAGGTAACCAGGTTTCCTTTGGTGTTTTGTGAATCATTTTAACGAAATAAATGATATTGCCATGATGATCAAAGGCCAAGTTCATTCACCTAAGACTTGTAAAAGACAGGGGTAGATACCAAACTGCTATCAAACTCATCACAATGACATTGCCACGACAACAACGAATAACACAAAACCAAGGCAACAAAGCACATGTTTATTACAGGTGTTCATGGTGCTGTATTTTAGTTATAAGTTCCTACAGAGCATTTATTTCCATTTGTAAAGAAGATTGAAGGTACCAATGTATACATATGGAATTATGATTATTTGGTGCATTTATTTCCATGTGTTATAAAGCTTGAAGCAATCAAAAACATCAACAATAATAAACTTTAAGCTCACACAATCATTCAAATCATGCACTATTCCAAATAAAAGAAAAAAAGAGCACTAAAATTTTTAAGGTAAGTATGTAAGCATACTTTTATTCCTGGAATCTGGCGTGTATATTTTATATTTTCCGATGAGTAACTTTACACTATTGTTTTTTTTCATACATAGTGTAAAACAGAACAAACACATTTGTAGGTAAATTTTGTTTAATTTGATTATCACAGGTATTTATAAACATGAAACCGGTTTTCTTATTGTTGTCACCTGTGCATTCTATTGAATGGCATTTTATCAATTTATTCTAATATTATAATAACAAAGATAATATTATTAAATATGGAGGAGGAGGAGTATGATCCATCTATTTAATTCTTAATAGATAAAGGTCAATTTTAAAAATTCACAACTTTTTATTTATGAAAATACATATAAACATTTTGAGGTTTGAACGTTGTTTTCAATTTAGACTTGATTATATTTTTTCGTTTGGGCTTGTATTATATTTTCCTTAGGGTTTATATGATCCCTTCATCCTATTTCGACTCTTTAAAATGCAAGAGTCTATCCTAAATTGAGGTAAATTATATGGCCTTCCAAATACCGTTTCGATCCCTAACATCACTGAAGAGACATTAAATGTCGAAATCCGGATATGGTGTACAAATTTTTGCACCTCATGTTTGCGGTATACCATCTTTTCCGCAAGTTTATTGTTTTCTGTTTGGTATTAAATTAATATGCAAGATTCATTTTTTACATCTGGTGATCAATTTATTTGGCAATTGCCAATGGCAGTCAGCAGGGTTTAAGAACATCAGTTGTTCGACCTGTTAGTCAAATGCGTTTTGTTAAAATATACTTTTTCACTTTTTGGTCTTTTGGAAAATGTTGTTTGTGCTGTATTTAGACCCCTCTACCAAGAAATTTGTTTTACATGCACACGTATAAAAATTGCAGTTTTTATCGAACGCAATCATAGGTTTGAAGGTTGTTTTTAATTTAGACTTGTTTATATTTTTTCGTTTGGGCTTGTATTATATTTTCCTTCAGGTTTATATGATCCGTTCATCCTATTTCGAATCTTTAAAATGCAAGAGTCTATCCTAAGTTGAGGTAAATTATATGGCCTTCCAAACCGTTTCGATCCCTAACATCACTGAAGAGACATTAAATGTTGAAATCCAGATATGGTGTACAAACTTTTGCACCTCATGTTTGCAGTATACCATCTTTTCCGCAAATTTATTGTTTTCTGTTTGGTGTTAAATTAATATGCAAGATCCATTTTTTACATCTGGTAATCAATTTATTTAGGTTTGAAGGTTGTTTTCAATTTAGACTTGTATAAACATTTTGATATATACATCTAATAACTTAACCTGTATTTGAATAAAATAGGGTGCGAACGTGTATGGTGCAAACGAAAATACAGGTGGTGAATGTTTAGGGTGCGATTATTTTATACACCTTATAGCTATTTGTCTGCCATTACTGGACATCACAAATTCGACACAAAGGTTCAGTAAAATTTTTTCTTCACAATAGAAAATATCTGATGCCACAATGGAAAAGTGATTGTTGTATGACGTCAATAGTTCAAGTGTCGCAGATTTCCAAATAGCGAACGGTCCAATTTGCATTACTGTATCAAATAAAATTCAAAGCGAGTTAAAACAAAGTACCAGGTTTAATGCTAAAGATAAACCAGAACTAGTGTCCCTTTCCACTAAAAAGGCTCTTTGGCAACAGTTAACATGTTGTAAAGCTTCCTGCATACTAAAATCTAATTATGACAGATTTTACATTGTATTCGCTTTGTTTGTTTACATTTTTCCGGAAGCACGTGTAAAGAAGCAAGAATAAAAGAAAGATTTAACAAAAGTTAATTTTAGGTAGAACTGCTGTAAATGGTATCCCATATAATACCAGTTCAACGAAGAAGTCTTCTAAATATATGTTTTAATATCTACAAGTCCATCTCAAGATATTCAAAAAATTGTTATATAAAATCTAATACCACTTCGAAACCCATTTTCTCGATTTTACAAATTCCTTCCTTTCACCATAAAGTGTGTGCTATGGAACAGTTAGCAGAATGCCCTGCAGAATCGGTAATGAAAACAGCTATGAGAGATGAAGAAGCATAATTAACTATTCTACTTTAATTACATAAATCATTTGGGTTTTAAATTGTCGCTTTTGACATATTAAACATGTAGGGTTCCCGTTCCTAGAAAGGAAAAGTTTATTGATGATAGTGTCGAATACCTGCAAAATCAAAAGATATTAGAACAAACCATAACGTACTGTTTTGGGTAAAGATTGCATGAAATGCAATCAAAACCCTACGGTACTGACTTGATATTTAAATCTTCTCAGGTTTATCACTACATTTGATAGTTCAAACAAAATAGTGTAGTGAAGTGATCATTCTTTAGATCCAACCAGTCATTGTCATAATTATATATATTCAAAGTTACAATATATTATGTGTATTTGAATTACTGTACTTGTCAAGAAAACCTTTGTTTATCACAAATTACATAAGTAGTGCATGGTGTATGAATCTGTTATAAAAATAGGTTCATCTACAATAAACAATCATGAACAAAGGAAGATATTGATAACTCTCAACTCATATTTATAGTTTACCTAGCTAATTACAATTCAATGTTTTATTTTAAATTCACAAAATTGCAAAATGAAAGCAATCCTTACCCTTTCAGTGCTCACAAGCACTTTGATTAAAAATATCTTCTTAGCGATTCAGAGCTGCAAACTATCCTGATTTATGGGGGATATCCCCAGCGAGAGGTGTTGACCCGAATTTTGAAATTCTTTATTAAATAAACTGAAGACCTAAAAACATGCATGCATTCAAATGAGTTAAAAGGGTATTTAAACACATATATACTCATTCAAACAATTTAGTAGTAGGTTAAGAACACTTTGGACAATATAAGAGGAACATTAGGTCCTCTTGCACTAAAATCCCCATGGAGATTTTGAAAAGTGTGCAGGTATGGCGATTTGTCATTTCTATGATCTTCAAGTCTGGAGAAATCAATCTTCTTAATTATAAAATCACCTCTTGTTCAGTTTTAAACAGTTGAAAACAACAAATGTGATGAAATTGTGGATAAAATACAGTTAGGGAGCTACCATTTGATTTTTATGGGGGGCTAGGATGAAAAATTTTGTCCTGCATTTTTTTTTAGTTGTGATCTCTGTCCTGCCTTTTTTTTTTTTATCAGTTTAGCGTGACTTTTTATACGCCTGTTTACGGGACATATAATGGCATACCCTTGTCCGCCTGTCCGTCTGTCTGTTCGTCGTCAACATGTCGGATATTAACTCAAAAACGCTTTAACCAATTTGCATGAAACTTTGGTGAATTGTTAATATCTATTGACGTGAGCTCCCTTTAGTTTTTTATAAATTTTAGATTTTAGGTTTCCGAGTTTTGGGGTTTTATATTCATTAAAAAAATGGGGATTTTCCAGTTTTCAGACAATAACTCACAAACTCTTTCAGCAATTTGCAAGAAACTTTGGTAATTTGTTTATAACTATTGACATGAGCTCCCTTTCGATTTTTATAAATTTTAGATTTTACGTTTCTGAGTTATGGGGTTTTATTCATTAAAAAAAGGGGGATTTTCCAGTTTTCATACAATAACTCAAAAATGCTTTTAGCAGTTTTCATTAAACTGTCGACTGATTTATATCTATTAAGATAGCCTCCCTTTAGTTTTTTATAAATTTCTGGTATGACATTGAGAAGTTATTGAACTTTATTCTTTGAAATCCTGACGGGCGTATCATGCGCTCATGGCGCAGCTGTTTATTTTACATAAATTGTCATCCTGCCTTTTTTTTATGCCAAGTTGCTCATCCTGTCTTTTTTTTACTCAAAACTCCTGTCCTGGTTTTTTATTCAAATTTCATCCTAAACTATGAACTAGTTGATACTGTAATTAGACAATTTGCGTTAAGTAAAGGTGTTAATATAACTTTTATAAAACTGCTGACGAAGCATTAATACAAAGACATTGCTAACGTCAATGAGATGGATTTTGCTGCAATAGAAAATGATGACTTCTAATGGCCAGAAAGCGTGTATTGGCGATACTATATCCCACACAACAAACATCAATAACATTCATGTTCAATTTATTGTATGTTATTTTACTCAAGTTGTTACGGATAACACCATTGGAAAATGAGAGGCGCTATGTATGGCACCTCATATTTTGAAAACTTGCTTAATGACTCTGATATATGTATTGTAACTGAACACTGAAGAACTAATATTACATTTTTATATGAGTTAGCAAATGATTTTCGAGTATTTTCATGCTATAGCTCTTGTTCAGTAAATTCAAACAGAGGCTCTGGGGGAGTACGGAGCCATTTTTGTAAGGAAGAAACTCAGTTTTAAGACATATAATTTATGTGTTAATGACAGAATTTGTGCTGTCAAACTATCCAAGCATGGTTATGAAAACTTTTGTATAATAACTACTTTACTACCATCCATAAATCATTCAGTTGAAGAGTATTTACAATATTTTCAAACTGTGTGTAGTATTTATGATAGAATGTCAGTTAAATGTGTAACAGTAATTGGTGGTGACTTTAATACAGATATTTCATTAACAAGTTTAAAGAAGTAAATAAAAAAATGTCATAGATTTCATTACAAAAAATAATTTATCTCTTGAGCCAATGATGTCTGGTCGTAAAGGCCCTGATTTTACATTTAGGTCTAAAGACATGACACGTAAAACTATGATTGATTGTATTTTCATTCCAGAATTCTTTTTTAATGGCTTTACAAATTTAGAAGTCAGAAATGATTGCCCATTTAATGTTTCAGATCATTATCATTTTTGATTTTCTTAAATACAAATTTGCTATGTAATACATCAAATGAATTTCATCTTGGTCGTAAAGTCCTAATGTGGTCTTAGATGTTCATCTTCGCTAGCCAAGGGATACGATCCAGTCCCCTCCTGGATTGTAACCCTTGGCTAGCGAAGATGCTAGATGTGATGAATGGGAGAAGAAATATTATCAAACAGAACTTGACAAATTGCTTAATTTTGAAGTTTTACTCATCAGGTGAAATAAAAGAAGACTACATAGAACATATAAACTCAAATATTGCAAATGCTGTACATATCGCTTCAAATTCTTGTATTCCCACTGGAAAATGTAGACACTATCTAAAACCATATTGGAAAAGTAATAGCTTAGAATACTATCATAATGAGCAACAACAAGCTCGAAAATGCCGCTTTAAATGGGACAAGCAGGAAACAATGACAATATATTTTATAAACAGAATAAAGAAAAGAAAAGAGAATTTTGAAAGCATAAACGTAAAGCAGAGCGATCAAGAGAATCTGAAAAATTTGCTGATGTGCAAAAATAAGTCGAAATGGACATAGAACAGTTTTATCATGTAGTGCGAAAGCATAGACAACAAAAATCGCCAGCAACATGTTTGACTTACGATGGAAATACAGCTACTTATAACGGGGATATTTGCAAGTTGTGGAGTACTTATTTTAGCGATTTGTATACTCCTAATGAAAATGACAATTTTGATCAGTCTTTTTATCTAGATGTTACAGAAAAAAACTTGTGAATATAGCAGTCAAATTAGTTTAATCCTTTTTTCGATATGCCCTACACTGAGGATGAAATATCTGAGCAAATTAAAACTTTAAAATGTGGTAAGGCACCAGGACCGGACTATGTATGCAACGAACATATATTACAATGTATACGCCGGCAATACTTTGTTGAAATGGATTTGTTATGTTTAATTTGATACTTAAATGCGAATATGTACCATTACTATATTGTCATGGCATAATTATTCTGTTATATAAAGGAAAAAACGAAGACAAAAGTATCTGAACAGCTACAGAGCTATTGTCTTAACATCCCTATTTGGAAAATTACATGAAAAATAGTCCTACATGTACCTCGAATAAATAAAATGCTGCCTGCACTTGATAAGACTTTTCCTGATCCATTACAGTTTGGTTTTGTTCCTGAACATGGTGCTATTACCGCATTATACACACTCAAAGAATGTATTAACTTGTTCATGAAAAGTAAAAATATCCTTTATGTGGGTTTTCTAGATAACGAGAAGGGTTTTGATAAAATCTGGCAGACAGACTTTTTCTTAAATTGAAAGAAATCAGTGTAACTGGTAAATTATGGAGCATTCTTTTCATGTCTTACAAATCTGCTAGTACAATATAATGGATTTACTCTAATTTGGCTATACTGTTTGTACATAAATGACCTAATAGTGCAGCTGATTTTGGAAATTGTGGAATTGAATTGGTTATTTGAACATTCCTGCCATTCTTCTTGCGGACAACACAACCCTTCTTAGTGCTTCGCCGAAAGGCCTTCAAGGTCTTCTCGACTGTGTACAAACTTATGCTTGCAAATGAAGACTTAAATACAACGGATCAAAAAGTTGTGTCTTGACTTCTAATAATATTATTCAGCAAAATGATGTAAATAATACAGTTGACATTAAGCTTGGAAATACAACAATTGCGTGTAAAAATGATACAAGTTATGCTGGTACATTGATAACAAATAATGATAAAATGTTTGAAAGGACAAAACATGCCGCCAAGAAGTTAAGAAAAATCTACACTCATTGTATAGTGTTGGAGTAAATCCGAAAGGGCTGACACCGATTACAAACACGTCAATATGGAAACGTTTTGTTCTTCCTCCAGCATTGTACTCTTGCGAATTATGGGGTCAACTATCCAATTCTGAAACAGAAATTTTAGAAAGAACACAAAGATATGCTGCCCGATATATACAGTGCTAGGACAAATATTCACCAACGGACACAACTACAAGTAACCTTGGTTTATGGTCATTAGAAGCTGTAATTGACAGATTCAAGCTTTTATTTTTTGGGCGATTATGCAGGAGTAAATCTAGTACAACTCATAAAAAATTGTTCAACATGTGCATCAGTCAATTTATTCTGGATGAAAATGCTGAACACTATATCTTATAGTCTTATTACAACTCTTGTTAGATACGACCTTTTTTTTCCTTGAAACTTTAAATGAGGATTACAAACCAGAAAAATTGCTGTGGTTGAAAATCGTCTGTCAGTCTATTGAAATTTATGAGGAAAATAGATGGAAAAGTAATTTAGAAAATAGAAATGAACTCATACGGTACTCTAAAATTCACATTACCCTCTGTGAACATAGATTAATTCGGTTGACAGTTATATATCCCGATGCAAAACTGGGACTTTTAGCACTTGTGGCTTTAGGATCAACAGCCATTAAGAAAGCCACATGTACTCTATGTGACAAACAGTCTTTTGATATACATCTAATAATGCAGTGTCATGTTTTATTAAAAGAAAGAAATGTTATGTACTATAAAATTGCTGATGAACTGCCCATTCAAAAGTCTGTGGATATTTTCAATCTAGACGACGATGACCTTCTTGAAGTACTATTAGAAGCTGTTAATGATACAGTATACGAACTCGATCCTACGGTCTGGTCTAGAATGATGTATTACATAGAAAAACATGTTTACCCCATGTATAAAAAATTCAGACATATATTTTTTGAAAACAGGTTTAATTTTGACTTTTGAATAGACATTGATTGATAAACATTTTGTTTTTTGTTTACCAGTAACTGTGTACCGGTATTGTGTATTTATCTCAAAATGTATGATATTTTGTTTATTGTGTAAAAAATCACTTGTTTCTTTGTATGCAAAATCTTCATATACATGGAGGAAATAAAGATTCATTCATTCATTAACAGCCTGATATGGCCCCAGACCACAATTAATGATCCCACTTTTCGTTGTCCACGAATATAGTTCCCTTTAATTAAAGTGTATTTTTTCTTTATTTTTTTCTTTCCTTTTCTCATACATTTCTTAGATTTTATAAGGTGGAAATGAAAGAAGAGAGCTGAAATAAATTTTTGGATGTTTTATTTTAACTGATTTTGATATGGAAAGAGTGATTAGGCCAGGTGCATAAAGGTAATATTTACAGTTTTCAGAACATCTCTTGACTTGTCCATAGGGGTATGGATGTGTATTGGCTAAATTTGTAAGATGTAAACGTTCAATTTTTCTGAAACTTGGATATATTTTTGGACTTGTACTGTACATTACACACACAAAAGATTTGACAAAAAAAACAGGTAAATTTTTTTTAATGCGACAAAACATTATAAAGAACTAATAGGGGGAATTAATTGTGGTCTGTGGCCATATAATTTAGTAATGAAAAGGGAAATAATCCATACCTATTACAATAAAAGGAACTCAAAATTGTGCTTTAATTTTATTAATGCTTCAGTTTAAGCATGTGTAGATGTGTAGTTTAGTAGTTCTATCTCAATCCAGGAAAGGACAGTTATTACTGTTTATATTTGATTTATTCAAAGTAAGTTCCTGTGGGTTAATTTCGGCAGTATCTTTAGAAAATTCTTGATTATTTAACGAAAAAATATCATCAAGATAAGATTAAGTGTTGTTGAAATTATCAATTAAATACAATTAAGATGGGTCTTAATTTACTGAGTTTGGCCATAAACTGTGATTCATAACAGTTCAAGAACAAGTCTGCTATTAAAGGGGCACAGTTGGTGCCCATAGGTATACATACAACCTGTCGATAAACTTCATTGCTGAAACGTACACCAATGTTATCAAGGAGAAAATTAACAGCTGCAATCATCTCATCACACCTCCAGTTAGTATATCTAGCATATTTACCTTTGTCACTAGAGAAGAAGGCTTTACAAGAGTTGCAGCAAATATATTTGCAATCAGATTTATCAAACGACCATTTAATTAAATAGGAAAACATTTGTTTGATAAGATTGTTTTGAAGTGTAATGTAAAGAGTTGAAAGTCAAAAGTGTCAACAGAATCAAAAGGACCATCATTAGGATGTAATTTATCTTAAACAAAAGAATTTTTTACACTCCAAATATAGTTAATTCCACTATTTTCTTATGTTTTATTACAAAAGTTAATGAAAAGTTCTTTGATAGTTGTTAAAGAACCAGTTAAAAGCACTGAAAGAGTAGTTGTAGAACACTTACTCGAGGCTGAGATGAAACGATATTTTACAGGTTTTTTGTGTAGTTTAGGTAGCCAATACATAGTTTTTTCATTCCATTTACATGCTAAAAAACCCAATTCTCTATTCTATAAAGTACCCTTTTCAAATCATGGCTGAAACACTGTAAACCACATGTAGAATTATATAGCTTTGAGATATAAAAATTATTCAAGTAATTTTATTTGTGTAAATTCCAATACAGGAGTGAATTACCAGCTAACAAATATGTCCACATCAATCTGGTAGGGATTAGGATGTTGCTAAAAATGTACACAAGTCATAGATATAAGAAGATGTGGTATGAGTGCCAATGAGACAACTCTCCATCCAAGTCAAAATTTATAAAAGTAAACCATTATAGGTCAAAGTACGGTTTTCAATACGGAGCCTTGGCTCACACCGAACAGCAAGCTATAAAGGGCCCCAAAAATTACTAGTGTAAAACCATTTAAACGGGAAAACCAACGGTCTAATCTATATAAAAAATTTGTAAGGGTTCCGTGGAACCCAGTGTCTCGCCTACTTTTGCTGTTAGTCGCAGGCTCAACAAAAATGGGGAAAAAGTTATTAAAAATTTTCCTCTAGATACTATCTTTTGATTGTAAGAAGTTCTGTTCAAGTTTGGTAAAAATCCAAGAAGGTTTATGAATCTAATAAATGTTTTAAAAACTTTAACTGCAGACTGTACGTAATGTTAACTGGAATAAAACTAAGTCCATTTATAAGTAATATACGGAAAAACAGGAAATAAATTTTTACAAAATTTGCTTTTGGATACTATCTTATGATCACAAACAAACTTCTGTCCAAGTGTGGTACAAATCCAGGATAGTTTATTAAAGAAAGTTATTAAAATATGAAAAACTTTAACCACAGAGTAAATGTTATGTTAACTGGCAGAAAAACTAAGTTCATATATGAGTAAAATACAGATAAACAGGATTTTTTTTTTACAAAATTTTCTTCTGGATTCTATCTTATAGTTATAAACAAGCTTCTGTCCAAGTTTGGTTGAAATGCAGGATAGTTTAAGAAAGTTATTAAAATTTTAAAAATTTAACCACAGAGTGAATATTTGTGGACGCCTCCGACACCGACAGAATGTAGGATCGCTATGTCTCGCTTTTGCGACAAAAGTCGCAGGCTCGTCAAAAACGAGAAACGAGAAACACTTATGAACCACATCAACAAACGACAACTACTGAACATCAGATTCCTGACTTAGGACAGGTGCAAACAATTGCAGCGGGTTTAAACGTTTTAATGGTACCAAACCTTCACCCTTATCTGAAACAATAGTGTAACATCACAACATAGAAAGACACACTATAAAAATACAAGTCATGTATGAATAAACTTCCAAGATATTTTTTAATATATAATCAGGTGAGACATTTCGTTTTCTCCACTCTTTTTGTTAAAAGAGTTTGTATTTGAATTTACTTTCTATGATTTGTATATTTCTATGATTTGTATTTACTTTCTATGATTTGTATATTTCTAGGATTTAGCAGGAAGAGCAAGTGTCTGTGAAGGATGCCCTGGCCAAGCTCTATGCCAGTCACAAGGTTATTTTTTTTGCTTAAAAAAACATGCCTAGATTAAGGAGTATATATTCAGGTGTTTTAGATACATGTACACACAGAAGAAACAATTTAAGGTAGTTCAGGGGTATGAAATTTTTTTTTACGTAGTTTGCCAAATGTAATTTACTGTTATATCACAATAAAATTAAGTTTCAGAAAAAAATAGGCAGATGATACCTAAGGGACAACAAAGCAGCAAAACCCTTATCATAAAGAAGGGGGGTGACATCAGGTGCTATGGAAGGGTAAGCAGATCCTGCTCCACTAGTGGCACCCATTGTGTTGGTTATGGCAGGTAAAATTGCATTCAGTAATGTTACAATCAAGGAAAAGAAGACTGGTTTGTTGCTACCACAATTGAAACATAACCAAATCATGATGACGTCAATAAGTCATTCTAGAGGATGACCTTCACTTGGCCATTTTTTTTTTCTGAAATAAATTTAGACTGATACTTTCAATCTGTACAGAAGTCTAGAACGAAGAATAAATATAATTTAAAGAATAAACATATGATAAAAAGTCCATGTCACCATCAGGTAGTGCAAGAATTTTTTTTATCGTAAGGATCGATTGTATAGAAGAAACACACAATATGTGAACTGAAAGAAAACTAATATAGAATTTTAAAATGAGTTTGAGGAAACAGGTTTCATGAAATACAAAAATCAGAAAAATAAAAATGAAAATGAAAGCAGAGGTCAATGAGCTTGCTTTCTTGTTACATAACAAAAGATGTAAATTCACAGTACTATTCATTATAGATTTAATGAGTAAGCTCCCCTTATATTTGTTTCAGTATGTTTTTGATTTTAATAAATCAAGTTATATTTTTTAATAATATTATACCATAAGACACAACAAACTATGTTTTCTTGTGAAGGAAACTTGATGCAATTAAATTGCAATTCTATATTAAAGTTTATTTGAAACTATCACATTCTAATATAAAAGCACGATAGTAAAAACATTTTACACCATGGTACCATGGTGCTATAAGGCCCTGTGGTGAACACTGATATACATGCACAGTACAAATAAGTAGAGGTTTATCAACGATATTTCACCATGTTCACCGCTATAATCCTTTAATACAGGTATTATAAGAATAAGAAGATGTGGTATGATTGCCAATGAAACAACTCTCCACAAGAGACCAAATGACACAGAAATTAACAACTATAGGTCACTGTACAGCCTTCAACAATGAGCAAAGCAATATCTTTATGGATGAGGTCACATGATCTTGACTATATTGTCATAGTTCAAAGATCAATGTTAACTTTTCATGCTTAAGTCAGTTTCTTAGTTGCAAAGAGTAATTTAATTGGTATGCAAATACAAATACAAAAACAAATATCTTTTATTCCAAATTATAGGGCCCATAGAGGGCATTTCAGTTATTATGAATCACAAAGACAAAAAAATAAAAATGAAATAAAACACACAAGCCTTAACATTCTTATTGATAAGTTATGATTTAAAGTTACTGAAACAAAACAAAAACAAAAAACACATGTAATACACAATCACAAGGTATAAAAAATAAATGAAAGTTGTATTTCTCTGTCTGATATTGTCATCTGACTTTAATTAATTTTAGTGGTTCACTCATTTGTAGAGACTGAAATATTGATTTTAAAGTATAGAATGAATAACTTTCATTACAATAAAATTTATTATCTATGATTTTGATACTCTTTATTCATCCATTGCAGCAGAAATATAAGCTGACCATTTTGACTTTATTTTATAAATATAGAGATTTTTAAATGATTAAGTGAAATAATTTTCAAATTCTATAAAGTGCTTGCAATACATGTCATTGTTTTATTTAAATCAATTTGTACAAATATAGGACAGTTAATGAATGACTTTAATATTATTATTATTTTGTTTATTTTAAAAAAATCTTGTCAGGTCTCCTTTAAACTTTGACTGAAGTCACTGACTCATCAACTTGTAACCTTATATTTTTCAACTAATTTTTTCAGGAAGAATTGACCCAGACCAAGAGATGATTGACATAAGGATGAATGTAATTAAACACAAAATACTAGTTATATCAGGAAAGGGAGGTAATTTAAAAAATTTTGTTTGCATGCAAATACACAAAAAGTTAGAAACAGCATACACATACCAATTCTTACATCTTGCAGTTTAATGTTTTAAAACACTAAACTCATTTTTATTCCACCCTGTTGATGCAATTTAATCAGATTTTTTTAATAATTTTGGCATCTAGACAGCAGAAACAAATCAAAATGAGACAATTAAAACATTGTTATAGTACAGAAATATTTTGACAATTACGCTGAGGCTGACTATACGTTGGCATAAAACAAACTTTTAATTAATATGAATAGTCTTCAGCTATCATTACAATACATTATCTCTCACCAGAAGATAAAGGAACAGCTTAACCTTCATTGCTACCCTGTCAAACTCATAAACCTTCATTGCTACCCTGTCAAACTCATAAACCTTCATTGCTACCCTGTCAAACACATAAACCTTCATTGCTACCCTGTCAAACTCATAAATTGCTTATTAAAGGAATTATTTATTTAAAATATTAAGAAAATCTCTTCATTCTGTTTGTTTTGCTTGGTTTTAAAAAAAAAATATAGTAATTTCAACTTGACTGGAACTAATCTAGGTCTGATACTGTCACACCTGTCAAAGTTAGGGGTCTCTGACCCATCTGCATAGATCCTTTAAGATATGCCTTTTTACTGTTTTAAAAATAACATTTGTTTATCTAATTTAATTTTATTCAGAAGTGTTTGGTATATTTTTCAGGAGTAGGTAAATCAACAGTTGGATGTATGTTAGCTCAAGTATTGGCCTCTCAGTCTTGCAAAGTAGGTGTAGTAGACTTGGACATATGTGGACCAAGTATTCCTAAACTTCTTTCAGTAGAGGAACAGGTTGTAGTTAACACAGAATATGGATGGAAAACTCTCTTGTATGTATTTATTTCATTCCAATTTTGCATGCATAATTTTGCTATAAGTTTGCATATTAATCTATGAAATAACACTTTATATGAACACTTAATGCTGTCTGATCATTGCACTGCAAATCAAAACAACAAATCCAAACCATGTAACATGAGAAGCAATACACAAGAGTAAACAATGACCAAAAATGACTGAAATCAGCTTATAAAAGACATAGCTTTAGTAATTCAGTGGTTGATCGAGATCCAGGAAAGGGGGGAGTGTGTGATTGTCCCTTAGGGGAAACATAGTGCTCAAGTGTTGCAAGGGAAATTTTTTTTGAAGATTTTATGCCAAAACATGAATTTTTTTTTGGCAGTGAAAGTTAAACTACCCCCACCTGAATCCGCCATTTATTTATGGAATAATTAATCCAACAGATCAAATATGAAAAAAATACCATAAATTTGGATATTTTGTCTGTAGTCATATTTTGGTTTATGTGATGCCTAACATGAAAATGCCAAAACATCTCTACACTAGAATATCCTTATTAATGGTATTCAACACGATAAATCACAGATGTGCTACACACATAAGTAAATTGTCACTGTCTTTAGGTCAAAAGATGAATATATTTTCCTATTTGAATTCTTGGATTAGTTATTCTTATATTACATTGCACTCTCACTTTGTTTTGATGTAAAATAATAGACAAAGTTTTGAAAACACCTATTGTTGTTTGTTGTATGACTTCAAATGAGTGAAACTACAGGATTCATTTCACATATGAAAAATTGGTTATTATTTTCTTTTTATTTTCATTGCAATGGATTGATCTTCTTATTTCCATCTAACAGTTAATTTGTCTTCTGACTACCATTTTACAATAAATTTTGTCTTTTGGCTTCCATCCTCATATGCTTTCTCCTCTGAAATAACTTAGATCAGGCTTTGACCTTGAATCTTAGACTTTTTAATAAGAGGAGATTAGGGATATACAATGTACATCAATGAGATAGCAACCCAATGACACAAATAACCTACCATATCTAGAGTCAACATTACAGTCTCCAACAACAGACAGGTATCTATATAATATATCAATGTAAGTGGGTAAAGTTTTTACCTTGATGCTAAATCTCACCTGTATATCCATAAATTTACTCCCAAAATTCTGACAAATATGTGAGTATCGACAATAAAGAAAAGACATTTATAACCAGTCTCAAAGCTTTACTTGGTTAAAGATGTTTATAATATCTTCTAATTAAATTATTTTACATATGATCACAAATTCATATAAAGGTTTGGATTGTCAGTATTATATATCAATTGCAGTTGGTAAGCCTGGTTCCCACTTCTAGTCCAATCTGCCTCACCCAGTATACATATCATAAAGAAGCTGTTTTAGACATCAAACGTAAACTATTTTATAAAGATAATGTTTCTTGTTCTTTTAGTGCAAGTACTTTTCTGTGTTTTAGTGTAAGTAATTTTCTGTTTGCCTTGATAATGCTATTTTGATATTAGCAATATTATAACATGAATCAAGATTATATTTCACTGAATTGGTAAACAAACATGCATACATGCTTGTCTGACTAAATTAGTTTGGTACTGAAAATTGGACAAACATTATTGTCATGTCCTGAACTGTCTCAATTGATAACTACTGTAACTAAAGAGTTATTGTTCTAAGAGTATATATTGGTACATTCCAGATCACCACATAATGGTATAAAAGTGATGTCTGTTGGAGCTATGTTAAAATCTGATAGGGATTCTGTTGTCTTTAGAGGACCAAGAAAAACAGGTGTGTTTGCATGTGTCAAAATGTATCCTGGTTAATGGTGAGGTTAGTTTTAAACAATAACTATGTAGTGATGCTATTTGCAGGATCATTTAATAAGAGCTCAATTCATATCAACAGAATGTTTTAGAAGATAATCTTTTAACTAAGGAATAGGATGGTTTTAAGTGAAATTTGTTTGGTAGATAAGGATAAAAATATTTATGTACATGATCTAACCTCTTATTATTAGGTCTCGCCACTTTTCCGTGGAAAGACCTATTGATTGTCGAGCCTTCGACTTTTGTTGAAAAAGCGAGACATAGCAATCCTACATTCCGTCAGCGTTGTGCGGTGTCGTTGTCGCGTCGGCGGCGTCCACAAATATTCACTCTGTGGTTAAAGTTTTTGAAATTTAAATAACTTTCTTAAACTATCCTGGATTTCTACCAAACTTGGACAGAGGCTTGTTTATGATCATAAGATAGTATCCAGAAGTAAATTTTGTAAAAAAGAAAATCATGTTTTTCCGTATTTTACTTATAAATGGACTTAGTTTTTCTGCCAGTTAACATTACATTCACTCTGTGGTTAAAGTTTTTAAAATTTTAATAACCTTCTTAAACTATCCTGGATTTGTACCAAACTTGGACAGAAGCTTGTTTATGATCATAAGATAGTATCCAGAAGTAAATTTTGTAAAAAAAAAATCATGTTTTTCCGTATTTTACTTATAAATGGACTTAGTTTTTCTGCCAGTTAACATTACATTCACTCTGTGGTTAATATTTTTAAAATTTTAATAACTTTCTTAAACAATCCAGGAATTTTGCCAAACTTAGACAGAAGCTTGTTTATGATCAAAAGCTAGTATCTAGAAGGAAATTTTGTAAAAATTTATTTCCTGTTTTTCCGTATATTACTTATAAATGGACTTAGTTTTTCTTCCAGTTAACATTACAAACAGTCTGCAGTTAAAGTTTTTAAAACATTTATTAGATTCATAAACCATCCTGGATTTTTACCAAACTTAGACAGAAGCTTCTTACAATCAAAAGATAGTATCAAGAGGAAAATTTTTAATAATTTTTCCCCCATTTTTGTTGACATAGTGATCCTACATTCCGTCGTCGTCTGAATTGAGGGATAAATCATCAAACAATGTAAAAATTATCTTCTTTATCATTTGTTCATTCAATAAATTTATGTTTCAACTCTTTTATAAATCTATAGATTTGATTGCATACTGTATTCATTTTTACGAGCATAACTTTTTTCATATATTTCAAACGTTTTATTTCATTAACTGTAAATCTATTATGTGCATTTCCCTATCACACTGAAAACATAGATAACAGCAAAAGTAGGTAAGACACTGGGTTCCGCGGAACCCTTACAAATTTTTTTGTTCTGATTAGCATTATTATTATTTTTATGCCCCACCTACGATAGTAGAGGGGCATTATGTTTTTCAGTCTGTGCGTCCGTCCGTTCGTCCGTCTATCTGTTCATCCATTTCGCTTCAGGTTAAAGTTTTTGGTCAAGGTAGTTTTTGATGAAGTTGAAGTCCAATCAACTTGAAACTTAGTACACATGTTCCCTATGATATGATCTTTCTAATTTTAATGCCATATTAGAGTTTTTACCCCAATTTCACAGTCCATGAACATAGAAAAATGATAGAGTGAGTGGGGCATCCATGTACTATGGACACATTCTTGTTTTTTTTCTTCCGCCACTTGCGAGAAGATTTTGTTTCGCAAGATGCCACTTAGATATTTGGTATATGATATCGAACAGTTTATACGCTTTTAAAACTGACTGTTTAGTCGATCACTTTTCCTTGTAAGAGTTATCTCCCCAAACACTGTTTTCCTTGTGATTGCTACTCCTTCGCCACCATAAAAGAAAATTGCTTGTTATATCCTAAGGATTTTTTCTAAAATTTGACCAAAGCAATTCGGAGACTCCACATGAGAGTTATTTCCCCTTACGTATTTGATATAAGTGATATTTATTTGTAAATGGTTAACCATAGGTAATAGAGACCTAGGGTCTTTTGATTTGGGGTCCTTGGTCCATCAAAAGTGATATTTATTTGTAAATGGTTAACCATAGGTAATAGAGACCTAGGGTCTTTTGATTTGGGGTCCTTGGTCCATCAAAAAGAAAATTGGTCAATGTCAAAGGTCAAGGTCATGTTTTGAATTTTGATTTTGGCTTATGATAGCTTCTCATCATAAACTGTATAAGATATTGACAAAATATTTTTACTGAATTGTTTGTTACGACATGTTGCAACACATATACTTTGGTTGAAAGGGTACGTTGACTTTAAATAGGAGTTTTCTCCCCTCTTATATCTAAAATTAGCTGTATGGTGATATAACTCATTAACCATATATAGTACAGACATAGGGTCTTTTGATTTGAGGTCTTTGCTTTATGACCTTGAAATTTAGGTCAAGGTAAAAGGTAAATTTGACGTTTTAGATTTTGACCTTTGCTATTAATTCATATTTATACATGATAAAACTATAGCGATTTTTTTGTATTAGGTTGGTAGATATCTGACCTTGAAAAGGTCAACCTAAGTGACCTGTTGTAAACTGGAAGTAGCCATTTCCTGCACTGATTTCATTTAAAATCACCTAGAACCATGTATTTTTGGAATCAGTGTGAAGTAACCTATCAGATGGTACCGGAAGTGAAACTTTTTAAACCGGAAGTTGCAATTTATCTCCCTAATTTCAAGCAAAAGTATATAGAATCAGTGTGACTTAAGCTATCATATGAGACCAGAAGTATCAATTTCTAGACCGGAAGTAGCAAATTATCTCCCTTTTTTCAAACAAAAGTATATAGAAACCATATATTGTTTGAATCAGTATGAAGAAACCTATGATTTGACAGCAATAGTTATTTAGAGTAACTGCAGATAGCTTCTTATCGAGTATTTAGAAATTTAATGTTGAAAGACCTTCGATTGTTATCTGAACAATTGGTTTTTAATTATTTATAAAAGTCTTTTAGCAGAGTTGTTAGCTTTAAAAGGCATTAATTATGGCTACATAAAAGTAGATTTAATCCTATGTATTGGGTCGTTAGGCAGACGGTGTATTAAGTTTTACTCTTGTCTGTCCCGAAATTGGTTTCTGTTCTCGAACTTTAGTTTGTGTCAACCAAATGTTATGAAACTTATACACAATGCTTATTCCTACCAAACACAAATCAAGTTTGAATTTGGGTGGCACCACTTTCACCGTTCTCAAATTATGTCCATTTATAAATCGAAAAATTGCTGAATTTGTTGTTTTCGCACTCTAACTTTACTTTGACACTACCAAATGTTCTAATACTGATACACAATTCCTAATACCACCAAAGACAGATCAAATTTTCTGTTTTGTGCACTTTATCACTGTTCTAGAGTTATAACCGGAAAAATTTCTTTTGTTCTGACTCTAACTGTTGTATGTCATGAACTTACATTTCATTTCCATGCTCAAAAGTTTGATATACCTTACACTTTGATAAAATTTGATGGTCTGAAATCTATATATTAAGAATCTTCTTATCTATCTGTATAAATAGTTATGAGCATGAGAAGAAATAATTAATAGGTTTTCATTAATAACAAAGATTTGAAAATATGTTGCTGTTTCTTTTCAATGAGACTTCAAAATGTATTTATGTCTTTTTATGTCTTCAGGTTTAATAAAGAGATTTTTCAAGGACACATTTTGGGGAAAACTTGATTTTTTGATATGTGGTGAGTTTTAATTTTTGTTTTGTTCATCAAAATTTAACTATACAAGAATTTGTTCTTGCAGCTTGAAAATAAATGAAAACAAGTTATAGAACAAGATTTATTTCAAACTCTGACACACTAGAAAAGAATATTTAAATGTATTATATTTATGAAACAAAATTTCAACCATGAAAATACTTCTTTTTCTTCAATAATATTAATATAATTAAATTTCTTTTTCTGATGCAGTCAGTAATAATTTCGGTTTGTGACCTATTTATAAAGGACGTTTCACTATGGTAACTGCATGCATGATGTCACAAATCTTTACTCTGATTGGACAAAATAACGGAATTGAACAAAGACCAACAAAAAAAGATGTAGGCTACAATAAAAGGAAAACATTACGGACGTAAAATCAAACTTAAAAATAAAATTATCCAGATAAATAAAAATAAATTCAGGTGAAGAAGGTGTCATTATCACCACTGTCAAATTGTTTGGATTTTGTAGGCTTAGCCTTTAATACATGAGTAGATAAATATTACTGACAGGTTCATTAGATCTACCAGTGCAATTAGGCTATTGATAGCTCGTGTGCTATAAATATATCTTGTCAACTAAAACTTCCAAGGGGTAACGACAATCTCAAAGAGTACACAATATTATACTTGAAATAAAGATTGTCAAAATACATATATATCTCAAATTTAATTACTTGTCAAAACCTGTATTATATAGATCATATCCCATTGGCGTCCGTCCTTCCGTCCCCAATATACACACCGAAATAGGTTGTATCTCTTAATTGTTAAAGTTGTTCTTGACATATAGTTATAATTGACATTTCTTCATGGATCTAAACTGTTTCAAGTTTGTTATTCATTACAGATTGTAACCTACTAATACCTTTTGCCGGCAAATTGTGTGCAATTTTTTGTTGAGCCTGCAACTTTTGTCGCAGAAAGCTCGACATAGGGATAGTGATGCTGCGGCGGCATTAGCATACTTCTTAAAAACTTTATATTATCCAAGGTGGAAGACCTGGATGCTTCATTCTTTGTATATAGATGCCTTATGTTATGAAGTTTCCGTCTGTCATATGTCCATTGTCCTTGACCTCATTTTCATGGTTCAGTGACTACTTGAAAAAAAAGTAAATTTTTTTTGTAATGTTAATTTCTCTCTTATTATGAGTAATAGGATAACTAAATTTAATATGTGCGTACCTTGCAAGGTCCTCATGCCCGTCAGACAGTTTTCATCTGACCTTGACCTCATATGGATCAGTGAACAAGGTTAAGTTTTCGTGGTCATGTCCATATATCAGATACTATAAGCAATAGGTCTTCTATATTTGGTGTATGGAATGATTGTAAGGTGACATGTCCAACTGGCAGGTGTCATCTGACCTTGACCTCATTTTTATGGTTCAGTGGTTAAAGTTAAGTTTTTGTGTTTTTGGTCTTTTATTCTAATACTATGTGCAATAGGTCAACTATATTTTGTGATGGAAACATTTTACAATGTACATGTCAGTCTGGCAGGTTTTATTTGACCTTCACCTCATTTTCATGGTTCATTGCTCAGTGTTTAGTTTTTGTGTTTTGGTCTGTTTTTCTTAAACTATAACCAATAGGTCAACTATATTTGTTGTATGGAATGATTGTAAGGTGTATATGTCTGTCTGGCAGATATCATCTGACCATGACCTCATTTTCATGGTTCATTGGTCAATGTTAAGTTTTCATGGTTAAGTTTGTTTCTTAGATACTATAAGCAATAAGTCAACTATATTTAATGCATAGATTGATTGTAAGGTGTACATGTCTGTCTGGCATGGTTCAACCGACCTTGACCTTATTTTCATTGTTTATTGGTTAATGTAGAGTTTTCCTGTTTAAGTCTGTTTCTTAGAAACTATAAGCAATAGGTCAACTATATTTGGTGTATCGAATAATTGTAAGGTGTACATGTATTTCCGGTTTGGTTTATCTGACCTTGACCTCATTTTCTTGGATCATGTTAAAGGGAAACTCCGCAAAAAAATGAAAAATTGATATTTTGTTCTTTAAGCATAAAAAACCACATGTTCATAAATAAAAAACTTTTATTCTCTATGTAAAGAGATCAAAATCGATTTTTGAAATTCACTATCAGTTCTCGACATATCGCCATCTTGTCGGCATGTTCGATCTAAAAAGTCACGTGATATCTATAAACCACAAAGAACAAAAAGAATCGGGGATTTACCGACCGTGCGTTAAAAACTCCCATCATCAATTGGGAATTACCGTAGACGGTTATTCAGTGTCAAAATGTCTTGTCAAGCGTACGGTTGTTCTGTCAGGCAAGGTTATGACAAAAGTCTACATAGTTTTCCCAATCCCACAAAAAAAGAAAGAATTGTATCAGAAATGGTTGTACAACCTTAAACTAACAGCAAATAGTTGCATCTATAGCAAGCACAAGTTGGTGTGTGAAGACCATTTTGAACAATATTGTTTCGAGGGAGATTCGAAGGTAATTATCCTTTTTTAATAACAAAATAACCTAGCAGTTCTGATAGCTATAGTTATCAAATCCTTATTTGATAAGATCTCGTTGAATAAAAAAATATAGATTTGATGAGGAAGAACAGTTTCAATTATAAGAAAGACAAATGCAGTGTTCTAGTAACAATCACTGATTTACAGAAGATTCATTAGTATGCCTCTTTTATATAAAGTGTATTGATTTGTATAAACAATAGTTCCGTATTTAGACAAGATAATTTTTCTATTAATAAAGATATACGATATAAAATAACATTTTTTAATTATGATATTTAACGGCTATTGACAAGGAGCAATGTTAGGAAGAGGTTTTAGCTGGGACATAATATGTTGATATAGTATAATATTCCCAGGTTATAGATATGTAAATATCGAACTTCTCAATTTTTTTATTAAAAGTGGGTTTTTTTAACTAATCTTTAGATTATATCAAATTGATACGGGATCAATTCGGAACGGTCACGTATAAAGACATTTAGTTAAATGTGTGACTCTATCTGGTATGTTCGGTTAAAAATTTATAGGTTTTTTTTCTTTTTAAATTTTATTTACGTTATCTTATTATATATATATTTTGGCTTCCTCCCGAATTGATAATAGGTATGTCAGAATTATTGATAGATGTCGTGTCAGAGCGACACATTCAGTTAGGTATTCCAAGGACGTATATTAGATGCACGTCCCTGGGTATTCCAGTGACATCCTGTCAACTAAAAATTCGTATTACACAATTATATAATACAGGTTCATGCATGGCCTCTTTATTGAGGTACCCGGTGTGCACAGGTAACATTTATTGAACCATATATTTGTGTCTAACGTTGTTTATCTTGTGTGTGTTTGAAATTATAATTCCACCTTTTAATGAATGATGTTCTGATAATAATATCCACTATTTTTGCTGATAATAAGTTTAAAAAATTTTATAAACATGACCTTTGAACATTTTTGTGAAATGAATATTGTTTTGTCATGATTCTGGACCATATTTTTGAAGAAAAAAAATTCTTCACGCAAATACAAGCTTTTGTCGATTGGCAAACATGCAGATATATAAAGTAATGCAGCACTTATAGTCACTATCAATATTAATTCATTGAAGATAAGAGAGCCCCTTCTATGTCTAATGTCCCTATCTTTATAAGGATTAGGACGACAGGGGAAAAAGGAGCGGAGATAGAGTGGCATAGTGAAAAAAAAATAACCGAATAGAGAACAATATATAGAATGATCGACAAAAAGCGAAATAGTTATTGTAAAGGAGCGGAGATAAAGAGAAGCATAGTGAAAAAAAATGTTTGCTTGACAAAGTTATTGCTCGCTTTGATATTTTTAGTTATACAAAATCACACATCATGTTCCTAATTGGTATTCACGTGCACTAACTTGATGCTGGGAACAGTATATTAATATATGTTCCTGCTTGATGTGTTAAGTTTCTGCATAGTCAGACATGTCAATAGTTCATTCTTGGAACCTTCATATACTCCATCCGACGATGGGAACTCTTTCTGATAGTGTTGACAACATAAGTTTGTTTATCTGTACAAGTGGTTGCATGGCCTCTCCTGCCCCAACAAACAAATACGCTACTAGTCTGCTATGTCTGGAGCTCATCCTCAATGGCGCTTATACGTCATGAAACTTACAAGTATACTAGTAAAGAGTGTTTCAAGAACAACGAGGTTGGGACGAACTGTTCTAAAATCGTCAATATCAGTGATACATTACTAAGATATTCCTTTAATTACAACAACTGTATTACTAATTTGGATTAATGACGGCTATCCTAAAAAAAAATCCTCAAACAAATTAATGTATTAGTATGGCAAGCCGTTGTGGAATTTATTCCCTATTTATTAATATTAAAAAATCATTTATTAATATTAAAAAATGATTTTTTAATATTACAAAATCATTTTTTAATATTAATAAATCGAATTTTTAATATTAAAAAATACTGTCATATTTTAATATTAATAAATGAATATTTAATATTAAAAAATCATTTATTAATATTAAAAAATCATTTTTTAATATTAAATATTCAGTCTGATTTTTTAATATTAATAAATGAATTTTTAATATTAAATAATACGCTGATTTTTTAATATTAAAAAATCAACATCAATATTACCTTTGCGTTTAATATAAGGCAAACCAATCATTTATCTATCAAACGCTTTAATGATGATTATTGGACGAGTCGGTCCGGAGAAATTTTGGACCGACTATGTTAAGTCAACTCGGACCATCTTATATCGACCCAGACAAGTAATTAAGGAAAGTTCGAACTATTTAATGATTATAAACCATTAAATATTGAATTTTGAATTAAATTTTCTTTTAAAATCGTGCATTAAATTTGCCAAAATAATTTCAAATTATAATTTGATCTATGTGAATGGACTCAATCCTATGGAAGCGTATTAGGAACAAAACAAATTAGCATTGACCAATATTTGG